CAAATTGGCAGTATCAAATGATTGATGGTTATCTGTTCCATCAGAATAAGTTTTTCATTCCTTAATGATCGCTAAGAGAGTCAATCATTCAAGAGAGTCATAGTGGAGGACTTGCAGGATACTTTGGTAGAAAAGACTCTTACACTTGTGCGAGAACACTTTTTTTGCACCGACTCACGAGAGATGTGGAATGACATGTCAGACAATGCAGAGTTTGTCATGTGGCCAAAATTAGAGGGTGTAATGCATAACTATACACTCCATTACAAGTACCGGAGGCCCCGTGGGTGGATTTTAGCATATATTTTGTGGTGGATCTTTCAAGGGCACGGTGGAACAAGGATTCTGAGATGGTTGCGGTGGATATTTTCAAATATGATTCATTTCATACCTTGCCATCATACGCTGATTGCATCACATGTAACCGACTTGTACATCAGAGAGGTCACGTGACTGCACGGGATATTTAGGACCATTACTTCCGATAGAGATGCCAAGTTTCTCAGTCACTTTTGGAGGGCCCTATCGGAGAAGTTTGACACTAAGCTTCAATTCAGCTCAGCAGCTCTTCCAAGGACAGACAGTCAGCCGGAGGTGGTGAACATGAATCTGGGGAATCTTCTGAGGTGTTTTTTGGGGAAGAATGTTAAACAGTAAGTTTGAGTCCAAACCCAAGTCGAACTCACTTTCAATAGATCTGTGTCGGGCCAGGGGTGCACCTCTTTTGAGATCGTGTATGGGCGCAACCCACTCACTTCACTTGACTTGGTACCACTTCTTTCTACATCAAAGTTTAGTGAGGATGTTGAGAAGAGGGTACATGAGATCCATATGACACAGGAGGGGTAAAGGAGATCACCAAGCAAAGCCACAATTACCGTGCACAAGCTAATGAAACAAGGAAGAATGTGACGTTTCAGGAAGGAGATCTAGTGCTGATTAGATTGAAGAGAGATTTTTGATGGGATTGTTCGGGAAACTTAAGCCCAGAGAAGACATGCCATTTAAAATTCTAAAGAAGTTGAATGAAAATGCCTATAAGATTGATTTGTTGATGGATTACAATATGTCGACTACCTTTAATGTGGCAGATTTGATTCCATATTACGAGGACACAGAAGCTTCGACAAATGAGGTCAAAGCTCCCCAAACCCGGAAGATTGACGTGGGGCATCCTCACCCCTTACATGAGGCATTTACTGCGAACGCCCAGGACCGGTTCGGTCTAGGAAAGGGAAGGGCTGAATGATCCTTCCAAGCATAGGTTTCTTTTCCACTTAGAGCTTGGCCCACTCCTCTTCACCTTAGGTCTATGTATATGTTTTTTTTTTTGTGTTTTAGGGCAGTTTTTCGTTCAGATTTCTATAAAGATAGTCGTCGACACTCTTTTCCTTTAATAGGGTTGTATTCGATTGAGAGAAGGTGCTCCGGCTATAACTCATTATGAGGTGGTGTGTATCATTTTATCTCCTGCTTGCTGCTGCCCCTTCCTACCTTCTTACTTGCTGTCCAGTGTAACCAACTGCTCCTCTACCCTCTTTTCTTGCCGCCGAAGCTCCCCACTTATTGATTCCTATCAAACCTTTCAACATGCTTTTTCGTTGCCGCCGAATCCTCCTAGTCTATTGTCATCCCGCCAACTGCTATCTTTTGTCTTCTAACCCTCCATCTGTCGTCTTTTGTCGCCAGACCACCCCAACCGCCTTTCTTTTCCCTGCCACAACCTCTTACGACTGTTTTTTGTCCACCTCAAATCCAACCATAGTCAGGTATTAGTGTTGTGTTTTTTTTGTTTCAATATTGTTGCAATATTGTAATTGCATATTTATTTCGAGTAATAAATTTTTTCCATTGTGGTTTGGGTTATCTGTGTTATCAAAGGGTCCGCACAATCTGTTTGTAAGGAACTGATAGGTAATAGCGCTGCATCTCCCATTTCATCTTGGACCAAGTACTGATCTTGTGTTTTCCCTCGTCTTGGCGTATGTGATTCAAATTTTCCTACCAAAATAATGCACTCTTCTTTAACTTGCTAGTAATTAGTTTTACCATTCGATGGGATGTCCTTGTACTCGAAGAAAAGTTCTACAGCCTGGAGCCACTTGATGAACTCGTTCAGATCTAAGTAGCCGTAAAAAATGTGACAAATTCACCTTTACTTTAAAAGTCTAGCTTCTTTGATACAAGTCAAGTCTTTGCGATGGAGATTCTTCATCCTTGACATCCGTATGATGAAAGAGATTCACTCTATTCATTCGATCTAGTAAGTTATCATTGTGTCTACGGGTGACCTGTCTCAACGATCACTTTTTATCAATTTCATCGATTTGTTGTAGCACTGGGCGGAGTTGTCATTGCATATTTGTCATGGTAAACTCTTGATTGGCATCCGACTTTTGTCTTTTTGGTGGTATGATTAGGGTTTGGGTAGGTGGAAGTAGGTGTATAGAGATGTAGTGTGGGAAAAAAAAAATTGTTGGAGATAGGGTTGGGTATGGTAGAATTCTAAAACCCTAGGATGAGATTAGTGTTAGACTTGCTCGGATACCAAATAATGCGGGAGTTTACCCAAACAATAATAGAAAAAACAAATATTATTATTGAAAGCAAATAAGTAGTTAAAATCATAATAGGGCTCGATCCATGGGTGGTGGAGGTCGGCTAGGTGTTTGAGGAGCGGAGGTAGGTGACTGAAATGAGTTCTGGGTGGTTGGGACATCAAAAGTAGTGGCTAGAATTGCGTTTGCAGTGAAGTGAAGCGTTGGGACAGCAAGGGGTAGTGAAAGGGAAGCATTGTGAACTGCAGGACAGCAAGAGGAGTTCTATCCGGTGTGGGGGCAGCATGCGAGGACTGTAGAGCAATCAAGATAGGTTGCAGTTTAGGCGGCATCGAGTTGGAATGATGTTTGGATAGTATGAACAATAGATTTTCTGACTTTTGAATGGTTCCCACTAGGATCGGCGATTGGGATTGATGCGGGAAAGCTGGGGAAGGATGGAGGTGGCTGTGAGGGATGGCAACGAGTAGGGAAAAGGAGGGAGACAACTAGAAATGTAGAAATTGTAGTATAAAAAAAAAATAATAATAAAAAAAAAAAAACAGCAACAACTGCTGTCTTAGGTGGCTGCAGTAGAGACGGAGTAGCCGGGAGCGACGTGGCTAGGATGTAGAACGGGATAGGGAAAAATTATTCTCACGTCGAGAAAGAGATATAACAGGAACATCACTCAAACCCTCAGATATAGTCCTCAAAGGAAGAAACGGATGCCAGCAACTGTCCTAAATAAACTCACGCCAAAAACTAATTCTAGAACATTAAAAGCGCGAATATATAATAATAGGATAACTAGGAGTGGCCCATGAGGACCAACCGACTCCACGATATGAAAAAAAACCTGGACTGGAGCCGCCCTTGTCTCGGGATTTCTTGCATCACATGACAATCATGGTGTAGTGCTTCGCACCCCGCATCAATGCCATGGTCTTATTACTGGAATTAATACTAAACATAGGGCATATCTAGAATATTTTTTCATCTTTATATGCCAAAAGGATAACCTTCTTCCTCATTAAAAGTACGCTCTTTAAGAAAGGAGCTCATGAAGTGTATGATTTGATAAGCCCTGTTCCATCTCCTCACAGTGAATTGAAACCTTCCATAGAACAGATTTTATGTTACTGCCCTATTATCCGAGCATTATGCTCTAGCAACTTAATTTTTTATTGCATACTTTTTTTTTTATTCCCAAGGAAAAAAATCAATTGTTTAAGTTGCTGCCGAGTTTCAAGTCCATGATAAAAAACAAAAAAAGTTTCCTTAGGTCCAACGTCTTATTTTTCATTTCAGTTCTTTATTTATAGGACTGGCTTACATTCCAAATACCGTCTGGACGACCCTGCAGCTGTAGCATGCATGTAATTTGTCACATAACATGGATATGAAGCTTGATTGACACATCTGTGCCTGTGGGCGGCCTTACATGCTTTGATCTGCATTCTTGTTGTATAAATTGCCAACAGTATAAGTTCTCACAACCATACTACAAAAGTGCAATTAAATTTTCCATTGATCTAAATGGTTTTATTCCATTATTGAATCCTGTGATGAGAATCATGAATGTTTGGAAACACTTTCTTGGCTAACCTTCCACTAAAATTATGACTTCTCAAGGATATCATATTTTAACTCAAGCCTGCTAGTTCACGATGGTTGTTTAATGTGTACCACTTGATATGCTATTTATAGTAAATTAAGACGAGTCACTTTAGTCATTTGTTTATCAAGTTATATTTTAAGGTTGGTAAAAGTTTGAACTTTTTACTGGTATTTGATAAAATATTTTAGAGAAGAAAATGTACCATTCGTTGTGCAAAATTAACATCATAAATTGATCGCTTATTTTCAAAATGTTTGGAAAAACATGTCTATCCGAGGGCAAAATGCCATGAACTATTTTGATGAACGAGCTAGGTAATAACAGTGAGATCAAACAGTAACAAAGTGACCGAGCTATACAATTCATCAATAGTATTTGCTTGTTAATAGGATAATAGAGAACCCATCTACTAATAAGAAACCGATGAACATTTAATTGAGTTTACAAATCATGCCTAAAAAGAATTGGAATATTTTTCAGTGGTTGGTGACTTGACCTACTGTCCCTGAATTAGTCATATAATTTTATGCGAGGCTACGTAATAATTAAGGATACTCATTTCATCCGTACAGAGAAGTCCAATAAATAAGTCATCATTCTTTCAATGATAATTGATTTCTAAAGATAGAAACACTAGTCATGACAGCTCTTTCTAATTTATAATTACTATACTTTCAAAAGCTGTATAGTTAACTTCGTCATTTTGCTTCTATGTTCTACATGGTTTATGCTTTTATATGTTTTTTAAATTTATTTATTTATGTCACATTAGAAAAATCTGTGCTCTGTTGCTGGAACTGTCTCTTGATAAGCTTGCCCTTATGTTACTTTTAATTATAAAGAAACTGCAGAAAAATGATGCAACAACTCACTTTTGGCATCGAAGAAACCATTCTGTGGATTTTGATACAGCTGCAACAGACTTTGTAGAGAGAACAAATCTATCAACAGGAGATATTATCCAAACAAGTTCCAATTCAGACACCTCTCCAGCAACGTCACTTCATGTGCAGCTGTCTTCCCAGTCTCGTTCTGAGCCAAGCCTAAAAGAAGAATGGGCTGCAACTGTTATTCAAACTGCTTTTCGAGCTTTTCTGGTACAATAACCATCTTTTATAGCATTTTTATAATTTCCCTATAAATCATTTATGAGCTATCATACATTCATGATAAACTTGTCAAATTGTGATGAGCAGTTTTAACAAAACTATACAACAACAACAACAACAACAACAACAACAACAACAACAACAACAACAACAACAACAACAACAACAACAACAACAACAACAACAACAACAACAACAAAGCCTTAATCCCACTGCGTGGGGTCGGCAACATGAATCCTTTTTTTCTATTGCGTCATATTTAGTGTCATATTTTCATTTAGTTCTAGTAAATTAAGATCATTTTTAATACAATAAGCCCAAGTCTTCCTAGGTCTACCTCTTCCTTACTTAACACAAGTCGAATCTAACCCATCTACTCTCCTAATCGAATCATCAGATGGTCGAAGTTTAATGTGACCAAACCATCTAAGACGACTTTCTCTAATTTTTTCCGTCACAGGAGCTACCCTATCACGAATATATTCATTTCGCATTTTGTCTCTAAGTGTA